CATACACAAGTATTGTCCATGTCTGTCTGTCTGTGACGTAAAAGCAAAAGCGTGGTGGACGTACACAAGTATTGTCGATGCCTTCGGGGGCGGAACAGGTATTGTCACAGGAGGTTCCCTCGCCTACCAGCTTTTGTTCGACACGAAGCCCCTTTCGGAATTCGGATTTTATAAAGCATTGTTATTTTGGGGTTTCAACAATCGAGGGAAACTAGAAAAGGATGTGACCTTTGCCATCGGCCTTGGGAATCGTGAGGGATTTTTTTTTCTTGGGCAATTTGCATCTAGTCTGCAACACTGGTAAGCAAAGGTCGACTATCAGTGTTATTGCGTTTCCTTTTTGTTTTGTACGAACACATCCGTTCCCATGGCCATGCCCTGTATAATAAAAAGCATGAATTGTAACTTACTCCCTCCAAAGATTATCTCCTATCATGTTGATTTTGTCTTTTGAGAAACCTAGACATATATAACGCATTATACAAATAGACTCGTCTAGCTAATGAGTTAACTGATGCCTCCCCCCTCCCCCCCCTCAGTCGTTTAGTTAAGCGGTTGGTGCGATGGAGCGCGAACGGGAGGAAGAGGTTGAGATGCAGCTTGGTGATGGTTCCCAGACATGACTCACTCTCACGTGGCTGCATCACCATGGCCGGCAGTATCGTCACCATCGCCTGTATCACTGTCATGAGCGTCCCCTTCATTTTCTTTGTCGTTCATCGATCATCGCAATCGTTATCTTCGCTATCGGGTGATAGATATAACAGTAGTCGTACACCCACGCACCTTTCTTTACGCCCTCCTCTTCCTCTTCCTCCTCTCCCTACCTCCCCCTTCCTGCCCCCATTCTACACTTCCCTTCCCCCTCCCCCCCCCTCCTGGGGCCCCCTCCATCTCGCAGATGTTCCTCGCATGCTGTTTGCAGACGCCGCCGTTAGCCAGCTGTCCGCCTTGCATATGTTTTAGGAGTGTATATTTTCGCGGGTTTGGGGAAGGCGTCGTTCGCGGTCGTGTGTTCGCGGCCGCTAGCTCGTTCCGCGGAGCCTCCTGCAGGAGATGCATCGATGAGGGCGGTGGTAGGGGAGGGCCTGGGGTGGGAGGGGGTGTTCTGGTGGAGGGGAGGGCCTGGGGTGGGAAGGGGGTGTTCTGGTGGATGAGAGGGCCTGGGTGGGAAGGGGGTATTCGGTGGTGGGGGAGGGGCGCTCCGGTGGCTGCTGGGCTTGTGTGTGTATGAGAGGAGGGGTGTTTCTTTGTTTACGTATTTGTGAGACGTTATTCATTAGGCTGTGTGATTATTCATTCGGTTTTGAGACGCTTTTGTTTGTTTTTTAATGAGGTATCTGTCTTTATTTGTTTATGTCGCTGTGTTTTTCTTTTTCTACCGAGTATTCCTTGTTTCGTAACCGAGCTAGATGATGAGTGGGTGAGCGAGTTCGAAAAGTCATAGAGGATCTCTTCTCTTCTCACTACTCAACTCCTCTCTTCTCCTCTGTCCTCTCGCTTCACCTTGCCCCACCTTCCGCCCCTTCCCAAGAGCATGTTGCGCCATGAAGTCAAGTGTCAAGGATAAAGTCTTGACATCTTGAGTGCCCCCTCCGGCTGAATCTGGATAATGCTTTTTCGGGATGAGCATTTATAGATGTAATATATTTGAATGTGATTTTATTACGCACAGAAAACAGTTTTGATTATTTTTTTTGCACCGCCTTTCCTGAACGGCTTGTTAATTTTGCTAGTGGTGTTAGAGAGCAGGAGATGAAGCCATACAAGTGCAATGCAGTTTAATCAGGTTCAAGCAGTGCGCATTCAGTTCACACCGCATTGGTGCAGGCACAGAGGTCTTTCTGCCCCACTGATGTCACACTGGCTCAATGTCCATGTCATATTAACTGTTTTACTCCTGTCAAATTAATTCTGTCACTCTAGTAACACGCATGGTGGATATATTCTGCAAGTGTCCTATCAAAATCGTGCTTGGTTCGATATATTTCTATGGAGTTGCATTTTGAATCATCAAAATGCTTGGAATCTGGCTTCGTCTATGAGGTCAGAAGCCGACCGCCGCACCAGTGTCTTCCAGATTCCCGCATGTGCTTCAGCTCGAAAATATTTTTTTTCTTCGTTTTATGCCCGATTACATTTTCCCCTCCATGCCTACCCCATCCCTTCACTCCCCTCTCTCCTTTCTGTCTCTCTCTCTCTATGTATCCCCCTTCATCTCTCCTCTCCTCCCATCCCCACCCCTTTTCCTTTCGTGTATCTCCTCACACTTCTTTCATCATTTTCCATCCCCCCAAAAAGAAGCAAACTCCTGCGGCTGAATCACAGAAGAAAATAGAAGTTTTGAGAAGTGGGAGAAGCTTGAACTTAATTATTAACGGTTTTCCCTGGTGACCTTGAGGAGACGGAATGCCGCCACTACCCCCCCCCCCCCCCCGCCGGCCATGCCCCCATTCCTGTAATGCCGCCCACTTCTCCCTGCCTCTCTTCCCTCCTCCCC